CACTGCCAAGAGTTCAATCCTGACCGGCTCAAGGTTGATTCAACCTTCCATTCTTCTAAGGTCAGTAAAATGAAGACCCAGATTGTTGGGATCAATATGCTGGCTCTGTAAACCACTTAGAGAGGCCTGAAAAGCACTATGAAGTAGTGCTATTGCTATTGCAGCTCTCCTGAACCACACTTTGTACTATTTTATATTTGCCATCTGACACTGCAAAGGGAAGAGAATGGCAAGAGCAAAGTTTCCTATGGCTGTGTGACAATGTGTGACAATGCATCTATTGATGCATCTATTGATGATAGGAAGGCTGGGGTCCTCGTAAATCTGTCTGTACTGTCCAAGCAAGCAAAATAAGTCAATAAGATGTATTCTACTGTTTTGTTCTGTCTAGCCATTAGCTTGATCTCAATTTTATACGGTTCCTTTATATTTTCAATTAGAGATAACATATCAACCTTTAAGAGTTTGTAAAAGCTGTGTAGGTTTGAATTGGTTGAGTGATGCATAATCAAAAGACCAAGCTATACTTATTGTTCTATAAATACATATTTAAAAAAAATATTTTGATCTTGCTCTATGTTTTTTTTTACTTTTTGTAAAGAAAGCTATTTTGTTTCTGCTAAGTTTTAGCTATCCTTACCAACAGTGGCCATTGTAGCAGAAGCACTTGAAAGCAATGATTTCCCCCAGTTTCCCCAATATCCCCATCCTGTTTGAGTCTTCTCAATGGGACCTGAGACCTAAGTAAAAGAGAACAAGGTAAGCAGTTATTTATTCCTTTTTTAAATAACCAAATTATTAAAACTAATTTCTAGCAAAGGAAATATATTGAAAAAAATAAATAGTACATTTTTACATCACTATTTTACAGAACATTCTTTTCTTTCTGTTAGCAAATTTGGATGCTTAATGGGGAAGCTGATAGACATTCAAATAAAAAATAATGTTCTGTTCCAAATAAAACGGGATTCTTATTAATACAATATGAAGCATTATTTAAAAACATTAAACATATAGTAATGTTCAAATTTATCAATACTATGATATAATACTATGATATATTAACTATATTGTGTTAATACTACTCTTTATCTCATGTGAATCAATTTGGTCAAGAATAGGAAAATATTCTCTTAATAAATAAACTGTGTATTTATTTCTATGTTTCAGCAGTTATAGTCACCCATGCAAGCAGACCTACAGTAACAGAATGGTTACAAATTGCTTTCAAATTAATGCCATAAAAAGTAAGGATATATATTTTATTTAAATTATTATTCTAAGTTCCTAAAATAACATGTAATTAACTTGATTGCACATAATGTATTTATCTTTCTTAAGATCTCAGAAGGATACTCAATACACCAAGAAAAGCCTCGGTGGCGTAGTGGTTAGAGTGCAGTACTGCAGGCCACTTCTACGATTAGGTGCCTGCAATTTGGCAGTTCAAATCCCACCAGGCTCACGGTTGACTCAGCCTTCCATCCTTCTGAGGTAGGTAAAATGTGGACCGAGATTGTTGGAGGCAATATGCTGACTCTGTAAACCACTTAGAGGGCTGTAGAGCAGTATATAAGCCTAAGTGCTATTGCTATACAATCCAACTGCAGATTAAAATTGATAGATTCCATTTAAATTACAGAGTTACAATAACTTACTTTAGGCAGCACGCCCCCTGCAAATGTTTCACTTTGGAAGATAGAAAGAGTGAATATTTTGAGATAAAACTGAAAATTATTGACATATTTTAGCATAAATAGTAATATATTTTGCACCTGGGGCTCTTGTGCTCCGCTGAGCTCAGTGATTTTGGCTTCTGGTTTTTTCTGGGTCATGCATGTAGGCTCGACTTCCTCACCATTATTCTTGATCACTTCTTCATCCACTGTCTTCTGCACGTTTTCATCAGGTTCACCCACATCTTCTCTCAGTGATTCATTTTCCATTTGGGACATGACCAAAGCATATCCTTGTTTTATAAGTAATTATTATAATTATTTATTTAAGCTTAATGCAACATGTATTTTTAACTTAAATTGAGCCCATTGGACTAGTTGAAAAAAGCACACCAGTACAGTAAAACAGTTTACATACTACTAAATATGTAAAATCAGATCTGAGTTTGCAGAATGCAGAAAGGTTTCCAGAAAGCCTATAGCACAATTTATCTGGAAAATGAGATTGATAGAAACTAGTTTATTATTTGCTAGATTATCCAGACAATCTAAACATTAGGTAATTTTGAAGACAATTATAAATATTAAAGCACATGCATAATACAATCCTATGCATGTTTACTCAGAAGCATCTCTGATTCAGTGGTTTGCATAGGGATATCACTCGAGCAAGATCAAAAACAGGCATATTAGAATAATTATTTATTTCAATTCCATTGAGAAAATATAATAATAAAATAAAATATTTTACTGAGAATCTCTAGATTCAACATTCCATACTTAAATAGCTATTTTCCTCTCCCTTAAGCTAGCAGGCAGAGGCGAAAAATAGTTAAGTCCTTTGTTTGGCATATATATAAATTAATAACTAGAATGGCTTTGAAATTAATTGCAAAACAATTAGATAACAAAACGCATTATTTATTTTGCAGAAATAATTTCAAATGAAATAGAGCTTCCCACATGATAGCAATTCTTAAACTCTACATACTCCTAAATCTGGAATATTGTGAACAGCTAAGTCGCAATAGGTACAATTACTCTTCCTAGTTTTGATCCTGCAGCTATGGCTAGAAATGTCTTTGTCCAATTTAGTCTACAATACCAGTTTCAAATATTTCTGACCATGGTGATTAATAATTGGATCATTTCATCACTTCAAGTCATTTCACATGAAGCTGAATATTTTCAATGCCCAGAGGTTTCAGACCATAATGGCAAGAAAGCTATTAAAACCAAAATCTGATTCTAAAAACACATCACTATACTGCTAAAACAATGGCTTCATATTTCTTTTAAGGCCTTATATAGGTTACAGTGTTTATTTTTATGTGTTTAATTATTTAATAATATCCTGCCTTATAGGATTCAGGGCCAAGGTATCTTCATGTTTTCCACTTTTTTGCTTATTTAGATTGACTACACAAATTCTGCTATTGACTCAATGTTTAATTAAATACATTTAGAATAAATATAACCAATTATTTGCATAGAACAAAGCATGTTCTTGTCTTCTACTTCACACAGACTTTGAAAATACTATAAGTGATCTATTTTGTTCCCTCTTTGCTAGCTTTCTACCTTAAATTAATATGAGCTTTTGTTACATATTCTGCACTTATTGGGCTGTTGTTGTTTTGTTTTGTGTTCATTATCTGAAAGTGGAAGAATATGAATAATTTGCATAATAGATAGCTACTCTATGACTCTTGAGACAAGTTTTATGCAGCTTTTCATTTAATATATGTGGATGATGATATCATCCCAAGGGGATATGCCAAGTTGTTTTAATAAGAGTGGGAAAGTGTCAGAAACATGAGCATTTGAACAACAGAAATCAAAGGCCAACACTCAGATACATTATCATTTCAAAAAATACAAAAGTAAAAGCATGTAACAGTATTCTGGTTTAACTAGAAAAATAATGTGCTTCTAATGTATCAAAAAGTGTGAAAAACCTCGGTCTATTTTGAGAGATAGAAATGAACTGGTATTTCAAGGTAATTTATATTATCAGATTCCTACATTCTTTCCTGCTTTTGCCCCTTTCTCCCCAACCTAATTGTAGGATAAGCCAATATATCTGAGTATAAATGAGAGATTAATCATAATTTCAGAGAAATAATTGCCTTTACTCATTGGTTACAATGAGAATTACCTATTTAGTGTCTTGCCCTTAACATATGAACTCATGCTAGAATTTTGTCTTTTATAAAGAAAACCAGAGTTAATATAACCATCCCTCACTTTTCTTTGTGTTTCCTTAAGACAATCTTCCCAGTGCAGCATATGATGCCTATCTTATTTTCCAGGCCCGTGCTTTTATTATGCATGCTTACTCATAGAGTATCCCACTTATCCAAATGACCTTTCAGCCAACTGTTGATATTTAGAGTATTACATCAGTATTGCATAAGGTTCAAAGACTTTAGTCATACAAGTTTATATAAGGCGGAAAAAGAAGAAGAAAACAATGTGGAGAAGGGGATAAAGTTAAGTTTATTAAATGCAGCAATCAAGAGGGAGGAGGAGGAAATAGTAAAGAATAGGCAAAATGTAAGTAGGAGTAAGTAAAAACATGTTTTAACTACAAAAGCCACTTTTGTTCCAGGATGCAACCATTGGTATGAGAAAGAAGAGACACCTACCTGAATTTAGAAGATCGACTCCAGCCAAATTGTAATTACCAGTCCAAACTCAGTTACTTCTGTCGGATTTAAAAGATCAAAATCTAAAACAAAAGGATCTTCTGAGAATCTGTGGGCAGGACAAGTAAATACAGAAATCTTTTATTACTCTTTCTCTGACGCATATGCACTCCAGCAAATCAACCTTCTGTTGAAACAGTGAAACAAAACACGGAAGACTGCAACTACCATTCTCCCTCCCTAGCCAGAAGCTCACTGGGATTTGTAGGCAAGGAAAGGGGGGGGGGGTCTCGGAATATATTCAATCAGAAGGAAGGACCCTCATCCCGAAGGGAAGATTTATTCCACTCAGCTTGCATGGATTCTAACTGGCATCATCACTAAATGAAATTTATGGGAATAAATGTTCCTAACCAGAGCAAAGCAGCAAAGGCATAAAAAAGGCATTTTCAAGTAAGAAAAATACACCTTGTTATAGAAACATACTCGAAGCGCGGGGACTGCCCACTCCGGACTCTGCAGCCTTTCCCCCCTTTTCTCCACTGAAATATCACATCAGAAACAGCCACGTCTCTATGGCCTCCAACACGCCAGATTACTGTACCTCAACCATGGAGAGGAGGAGAGAGCGTCACTAAACCGGAAGTCAGGTGACCTCGCTTTTTTTTTTGTTGTTGCCGGATATGACGAATTTGCAGGAAAAAATTAACGACCCGGCTGGTAGTTGGACAGGTAGGGCTGGTTGTCTTAGGGGAGATGGGCATAAGGCCCGAGAAGGGAATCCGCCGCCGACGCTCCTCGCGGCAATCAAGAGGGGCGGGGCGGGGCGGGGCGGGGCGGAGGAAGAAATGTATTGACGTTGTGGTTTTGATAGTCTTTGCACCCCCGGAGCTCTGTTGGTGGGATCGCTGTCCGCCAGGAGTGCGGGATTATTGCGCGGAGAATAGGCCATGCTGTTACTGCTTCGCCCGTGTATTGGAGAAGTAATGCAGATACAGTATTTGGGTTAGATACTCTAACTCTGAGGTGGGGAACGAGGACCCTTTTATGGCTTGTGGACTTCAACTCCCAGAATTCCTGAGCATGATCTTGGGAGGCTCAGGAATGCTGGGAGTTGAAGTCCACAAGTCATAAAAGGGCCTTCGTTCCCACCTCTGCCCTAACTCAAAAAGGTCGGAGAAGGAGCCTGCGTGCGGCTATCTCAGTCTGGTTTCTCAAGATGAGCTAGGGCCACAGATTTTTCAGGCAGCTTTAACTCGAGGCAGTCTCACTTTGCCTCTCGATGGAGTAATGATAACCATAGTAGTAGTAAACCCTGAGAAGGATGTAGCTGGTTTGGTGTAATAGTGGTTAAGGCACCAGGCTAGAACCTGGGAGGCCTGCAGTTTTAGTTCCGGCTTAAATATGTAGCCAGCTGAGTGACTTCGGGCCAGTCATTCTTTCTCCCAGCCTTAGATCGATTAACAGAGTTGAAGGGACGTTGTAGGTCATCTAGTCCAACCCCCTGCCCAAGCAGGAGACCCTACACCATTCCTATCCGATGGCAGTCCAGTCTCTTCTTGAAAGCCTCCAGGGATGAAGCTCCCGCAACTTCTGTTCCATTGGTTGATTATTCTCCCTGAAAATTTCTCCTTATTTCCAGATTGAATGTCTCCTTGTTCAGTTTCCATCCATTATTCCTTGTCTGGCCTTCAGGTGCCTTGGAAAATAGCTTGACCCCTTCCTCTCTGTGGCAGCCCCTCAAATATTGGGAAGAAGGCCAGGACAACCACTTCCAAAGTTTTCTTGTCAAGAAAACTGCAGGAACAGGTACAAGCAGTGTCCAGGGTTAGTCACCCCAAATAAATAAATCAATAAACTCAGAAGGATATCCAAAGAAAGGGTGTATAAGAGCTTCAGTCTACAATTGGACAACAAGCATTCCAGAAATTTAACACCAGAGATTCCAGAAACATCTGCATTGTGATTTTGATCTCTCTCCCTCTACACACACCCACACACACCTTGTTTCCCCTAAATATTGTCTGCCTACCTCTGGATTATTTCAGTAACATGAAATATGAGTACCCAGTGATATCTTTGCTGAATTAGATTCCAGAGTTGTTCAATTATCTTGAATTGCCTGAATAATTGCGTTAGTTATTATGAAAGCTGGTGTTGTGACGCAGTTAATCTTAGTAAGTATAGCTAATAATTCTTAAGAAACCTTTGGGGACTGGATGTAAAATGTCAAGCTCAGCTCCTTGTTGCTTCCTGCACATATTTGTTGCCTTCAAAAATATTTTTTATTTAATCCAAAGATTAATTCAAAAGTATATTTTTAATTAATTGTTGTCTTTTATATTAGTTGTTAGTTAATATGTAATGGTAATGTACAAAATAATTTAGTAGTGAGGGATTCAGTTTGTAAGGTATGGAAAATAACAGCAATCACTGGATTAGGAAAGATTAGATAGCAAAAAAAGTGAGGAACAATGAAAAAAATCAGTAGCATTCAAAACTATTGTGTGTTATGCAAACTTGGTCCATATCTTAGAGAGCATATGCAATTGGTGCATATAATTACCTTGAGCTTCTGAAAGCTGGTTATTTTCTCAGAAATAAGAGACTAATTATCACTTCTGATAAGATTCTATGAGGCTTTACGAAAATAAATAAAATTGAGGAAGGCCAATACTTCTTAAAACTAGTAACTCAAGCATCATATAAGTCTTTGGTTTTTTCAGTATTAAAATTATTTTAGACTTGAGATCGGTTACTAGATCTTTTGACTTATCTTTCATTTCCATTTAGCAAATAATAAAATACAAATAGGAGCGGTATTGTTATTTTTTCCCCCAAAATGTTGAAGGAAGGTGTTATGTGAACTAATCAGTTATATGTGAACTAATCAGTTAAATGTAATGTGAACTAATCAGTTATATGGAGTTGATCAGAGAAGAATCCATGGCAAATAAACTACTAAGAAAGCTCAGGTAGGGAAATAGGGGAAGATTCTTGCTTTTTTGATACCAACTTCCATAGATAGAAGGTATTTGTTCCATTGATGTATGCATATGTATGTATATGTGTATCTAGTCCTATAATATAGAAATGAAAATGGGCCATGTTGCCACTATAAATCAGCTACTTGTGTAAGAAAAATATTCTTGCATTTTTTTCTTTTGTCTTTTTTGGTTACTAATAAATAAGACTAGTTGCAGTTACACTGGTTCTAACTCTAATATCCTTTTCATAAGCTAAACAAACCTGTATAGTTTTGCATTTTTAATAACTCGCATTCATATTTTTTAGTATTTTAGTTGGGTTTCTCATGTACTTGTTTTTTAGGCATCTTCAAAGACAATGGTTGATGCATCACTCAATATCTTCTCTGGTGATCAAGATAATGCATATTGTTTCAGTGTCTTCAGTAATTAAATTCAACAAAAGAATCCCTTTATAAGCTTCCATGAAGTTCAGCTGCTGTCTGTTGATTCTGGTTCTTAACCTCAGTGTTTTTGCTCAAGAAAATGTTACTTCCAACTTGACATTTACTGTGGGATCAAGGCCCCTGCCTCTCAACATATCAGTTCTCCCTATCTTTCAAGTCTTGACAAAATATCCAGTTCCTCAGAATATCATAGCAAAAGAAGGTACCTGTGTTTTCATTGAATGTAATTTGAACATTAGCCAGGAGGACACCATATTCTGGTACAACTCAAAGGGGCATCTTCTGGAGCAAGGTGGAAGAGGTAAGAGCATATTTGTCTAAATTTACAATAAGCTTGACCCAATGTATAATGCTCATAGAGGTTTTCTTTGTCACATTCTGTAAAAAGCACAAAGGGGTAAAAATAACAGATGTGCAATCACAGTCTTAAAGGTATCTATATTATAATATATTACAAATCTCTTAAATTACAACAGTGGACAACTATTTGCATAGCTGAGAGAGAGAGGGAGAGAGAGAGAGAATTTAATGATTAATAAACAGGTTGTTCAGTCAAGTTGCTTTAACATTAAAATCATTTGGAATTTAGAGTGAACAGAATCCGTAGGCAAATCTTTGAATCCCTGTCTGAACAACAGCATTTTCTGAAACAGTCTTCTTTAAAGAATTGTCCATCTGAATTTATAACAGTTGCAAGGAAGATTGGATTTGCAGCAGCAGAATTCTTTCTCTAAGAAAGAACAAGTTAAAGAAACTCCAATCTGATACTGAATCTACAGTAGTAATTTGGATCCCATCTGTAGGAATCAAGTTTATATTGTATAGACAAGAGTTTTTTAAGAAAATTGAAAGCTTAAATAAAAGTGGCTGCAATGATTTAATGTATTGTTTAAAGATCATTATTTTGACTATTACAGACTCTGGATGACAAAAGCCCATTGCATGCAGGCATTAAGATATTTTATCCAAGTATCCACTTTCTGTTATTCTCTATAGGATTTAACTACAATTGCAGTGAAAATATTCATAATTGGATATTTTCATAGGGATGAAAAAGAAAATAAATGGATAACATTAATCCAAAATAAAAAGTAATTGTAGACAATCTGGTACAGAATATTGTTTTCCTGCTAAGCTTCATGTGATTTATAAGTGTTCTACAACAGTTTTTAAAATTCAGAACAGCTACCAGAATTAAAGGCAGACTAGAATAAAAGAATACTTAAAATCAATTTATAAATAATTAGAGAGAAATTCTGGGCATATATTTATTGGGAGATGGGACCATAACTAAAATGGCCCCATCTTTTGTGCATGCTGCTCTAAGAAACATAAAAGCATAACTTGAACTTGCAATATTTTTTAAAAAATTCTATTTGTGTCTTTAGATGGAAGACTGGTGATTTCTGACAATATCCTCAATATCACAGGTGTAATATTTGCTGACCGGGGACGATATACTTGCAGTGTCACAAATGAAAATGGCACCTCTTATTATTCAATCACCCTCAGAGTGGTCTCCACCTCTGGAGACATGGGTATTTATTACATGATTGTCTGCCTAGTTGCTTTTACCATCATCCTTATCTTAAATATTACACGCCTGTGCATGATGAGCAGCCATCTTCGTAAAACAGAGAAAGCCATCAATGAGTTCTTCAGAACTGAAGGGGCTGAGAAACTACAGAAGGCTTTTGAAATAGCCAAACGCATTCCTATTATTACCTCTGCCAAAACTCTAGAGCTGGCCAAAGTCACCCAGTTTAAAACCATGGAATTTGCTCGATACATTGAAGAACTTGCCAGAAGTATCCCTCTACCACCTCTAATCCTTAACTGCAGGGCCTTTATGGAAGAAATATTTGAAGCCGTGCATGTTGATGACCCTGATGAAGTAGGAGATGGAGTGAAACAGACCCAAGCACTTGGTACCCAAGAGGGACTGTATCCCTTAAACCCAGAAATAAAGCGCAGTAATTCACCAGCAGGAGATTCAGATGATGGTTCAGTGAATGACCACTGCAAAGAAATAGCTGTGGAGGTATCTGTCCATCTTCAGTCAGAAGCACAAAGCATTGATACTGTTTCTCACGATAGTGTCCCCTCCCTGCCGTCAGAGGATGGTCTGAGGGCTGAATCCAAATAGAATAGCAAAGCTACTTGTATGATGTTCCTTCTGATTTGGGAGAATGCTCTCAAAGAGAAAAGGGAAAATGCCACCATAGTCTCAGATGCATAATCCCTGTTTGTTTTTTGTTTTAACTTTTGTTAGGTGACTGTAAAATCAGCGTAGATGAAGTTATTTTAAAATTCTTACTATAACTAATCTTAGAAGTATTTTGCAGCAAGAAATCCTTTCTATCAATTATTGATTACTCCAGTTATAACAGAGTGGACAAACTTTTGTTGGCTGGTGTAGTACAGTTTATTATATTTGTGAGAGAAAGATTGCAGCAAAGGGGGCACCGATGGTATGATATCATGAAAAATAATGGGATTTTGTGAGATTCCCCCGCCGCCGCCCTTTTCAGTGAGCTAAGACTAAAAGAGCTACACACCTTTGCTTGCCCCTAAAAACTAAAATGAAGGCTGATGAGTTATCTGTTCATGAGATACAGCAAAGTAATACATTGATATAAACCGTTTTTGTCATGTCTACCCAGAAAGTTAAATTCTTATATGTGCTCAGTTCTTTTATTAAAAGAACTTCTTTTATTACAGTTCACAAGTGTATTGCATAAGAAATTATAGGTCTTTTTGAAAAAAAAATGCTATAAGGAGACTGATTGCTACAATTGAAAACTATGTGAAAAACTTATGAAATATCCAGAGATTTAGTTGTCTGTATTTGTGTTCCTATTAAGTATTTGCATTAGAAAATAAGAACCCAAGTGCAACCTTTGCATTGCAGTTAAGGACAAACCACTTAAATATTTTACCAATTGCTAAATATTTTCATAAATGAGGATTGTTTTCTTGGTTTACTCACAATATCAGCTTTTAGAATATTATTTCATTTCATTGCAGTGAAATGACAAAATCTTTAGGTTCCCTCTGTTACTATGATAAAAGCAGTGACAACTTTGGTACCGGTGACTATTTTGAAGTGTCTGTAGCAACCTCATTTACAATTTCAGCTTTCTTCTGGGAGCAGTGTGTTCTTAATTGTTAATATTAAGTGGCCAATGTTGAAGACAGTGTCATTCCATAGCAGTTATTAAGTGTTCCATGAATATCACCTGGGGGAAGCTGTTAACATGAGCCAATGATAATTTGGATAAAAAAGCTGCACCGTTAGAAAAGTAGGCTGAGAATTGTTATCTATGGAGTAATATTTGGCCTGGCCCCAATAAAAATCCTGGCGAAACCTCAAATAACAACACCATTACGCAACAATCAACTTTAATACAGACATTTGGCTGATTCCGCATGTTCAGCAGTGTAATTGCTTACTAGAGCTGTGTTGGCACAGCAGTTAGAATGCAGTACTGCAGTAATTCTGCTGACTGCCAGGAGTTCAATCCTGACCAGCTCAAGGTTGATTTAGCCTTCCATCTTCTCGAGGTCTGTAAAATGAGGACCCAGATTGTTGGGGGCAATATGTTGACTCTAATCTGCTTCGAGAGGACTGTAAAGCACTATGAAGTGGTTTAAGTGCCATTGCTACTGCTTCAGGTTATAGTTATGAAATAATATAGTTAAATTTCACAAACAGACACAAACCTTGTAAATTCAAAACTAAATTGTTGAGGATTTCATTTGGTCAATTGTTGCCTGCTGTTCCCCTCACATAACTTTGTATGAAGCTTTTAGCTGTCTGAAAAATTACTTCACATAACTGCAGTGATGCAATCCATTATATCATCATCTACTATAAGCAGATCTTCCTTATACTTTGAGGTCACATTTGCTAATAAAATAAGATTGTCCTTTCTCTTCCAGCCATTTGAATTAACCCAGTTCATATATGCTTTTTTTTCGCATGGGGGCAACAGCCTTAACACATAATTTCCTTTTTAGCTTTAAAAAAACTGACAAATATATTTGACCCGTAATCTAGAAAGTTAAAATCGCGCAAGTCTAAATTTATGATAGATATGAAATCCCTCTTGCTCTAGCAAAAGTTGAAGAAACATAATTTTTGAAGGAATCTGTTAAGTTTATAGCACATGTGGGTGGCAAGTGATAGTAATGGCACCTGGAAGTTGGAGTCATTGGCAGTAATGCCCATCTGTTTAACAGATTGTTTAAGAAAACATTTACCTCACAATATTTAGCTTAATTTTCTTAATATTTGTTTCTGTTTCTGAAACAAACTAGATCGTGCAGGCTTAAGCTTGGCAAAGGGATATGTAAATGTAGAATGCTATTTCTTTTTGTCCTATAAATCATTTTTATGTATAACTTGTAAAAAGAGAGGATCTTGGTTTGCATCACTTTCTCTGGAACAAAGGCAGGACGGAGATGAGCAATTAATTTAGATGGATTAGATGTGAAAAGCATGCATGGTAAATATTGTGCAGTGTAGATAGTTTTTTTTTAAGCATATATTTTTACCAAATATTCTTGTAGTGTTATGAACATATTTGGATAACTATTGTGGGTGGTATGTACTTGTTTAAAAAATTGATGTAACATTATGAAAAAAAACAATGCAAGACTTCTCAAATGGCCAACAGATTTTTATGAATAATTGGGGAAAAAGCCCAGCCGTAAAGGTATTATTACCGAACATTGATTGGAGTTTCTGCCTGTGTACATTTTGTGTGTAAACTAATTTATATTAGTAGACATGAAGTTGTATTCTCATTTCTTTAGCTGTAGTGCTTTGTGAAAATATTAGAAAACTTAATTCTGTTCACCAAAATGTGGTTTCAGCATTACATTTGTAGCTTGGGAGTTGCCACAGTTGTATTTCATACTTTTATATAAAAGTAAAATGGTGCTTTCTTCCAACAATAAAATCTACTATTAAATGCCTGAACTGTGTTTCTGGTTTTATGTATTATTATCTGTAAACTATATCCTATATGCCATTTTTATGCCTTAAAACCCTGCAGCCATATGCAATCATTTACATATGTTATATATAGAAGTATTTGTAGGCTTCTGCAATTTTCACCAGTTGGTCCTCTGTAAGATATGCATTATTAATTGATTTTCTGTCTGGTTACATGAAAAATAAGAAAAGCAACCATTATATATAAATCTGCTTTTGAAATATCTAAGCATTACATGATGCCTATAACAATAGGGATTTAAAATGCAAAAATAATCAGCAAATAAGCTTGCCTGAATTTTGCTTTAGTGTGTCCATATCGAAAGAACTGCAAAAAATAGAAACTATAGCAGCACCAACATTCTGGTTTATCTCACAGTCTAATATCATCATAGTGTTTCTCTGTCTGATATCTTCCAGACATATTGAACTAAAGTTTCCATTATAACTGAGTAGAAAAACATGGCATGACCTCCTTCTCAGAGATCACAGCGGAGCCTCAAGTACCATGCTGCTTTTCTGCTTTAAACTTCCATTTTCTCATTTCTTACACGGTACTCCTCTGTTGTATCTGAATATTGATCACTGAGGAGCACACAGTTGCTTCCTTGTCATCTTATTCCAGTTTTGAAAGCCCTTGCAGCCCTTCACTCTTTAGGCAGCCTTTCTATATAGTTCTCAGGTGAAATCTTTCATGGGTTCTTTCTCTAGGATTTGTTTCTTTAGCAACATCTTATCCTGCCTTTACCCTAGCTTCATAACGTTTTTTCATCCACAACACTCAGCCCTTTGCTTAAATTTGCTAAGCACTATATATAATACTACAGAAAGCTCCTATCTATTCTTCATTCCTAAATCAAGATATAGCACAATCAACAGTTCACTGGAGGAATCTTTATCAAGATAAAGTGCTGTGTATACTTACAGATTGCCCATCCTTGGATAAGCCAACCTTTTTTAAAAAAAAACCCAAAATACTGTGAAAAATGTGCCACTTGTGATAACCTAACCCTCAACATTTATATACCTTTTAATCTTCACGGTTGACTTATCTGTGGGTGGCACATTTTTCACGGTATCTGAGTTAAAAATTCAAGGGTTGGCTTATCCAAGGAGGAGCTTATCTGTGAGTACATATGGGTACTTTAAAATACTATTACTGTATCTGCTTTCACTCCATTCACACTGTTTGATCATCTAATACAATTCAAAAGGAGACAATTATATAGTGGTTGACAATGCTAAACAAGCCAGTAGAATGTATAATGTGTAATATGAATCATTAAATAATTGGGTAAATTCACAATTCTTGCATAATAGCAAAATCCAAAGAGAATTTAGTGGGCTTAGAGCACCATTAAACATATAAACCCTTCCAACCTAAGAAAAATATCTGTATAAAGCATTTGTGTCTATCTTTTGTTGGTTATCTGCACATACGTATTGGGGGAGACACAACATACTTGGATTTCATTTATTTTTGTGGGGCTTATTTTCAGCTAGATTAGCTCACCCATTTCCTTATAAAGAATCATTGTAGACTCAGCCAATGATGGAACCTTGCTGGTAATCATATATTTATATTCAGTTCAGCCTTTCTTAAATGTAAGGGTTTTTTTTAATTGTAATTATATGCATTTAACGCTAGAGGCAGCTGTTGTTTTGAGGAACATGGAGACAATATCATGTCAGCCAAAATATATCTTTTAAAAAAAAAAAAACTAGCAACCTTGAACTATTTTACTTAGCTGGACAAATAAGTATTCAAGTTTATCATATGTTCATAAGATTATGATTTTGTTTGATATTGGTTTTTGTACTGTTTTATATATCATAACAAACCATGTACATAATCTTAGCTAGATAAAATTAGCAGCAGTACTCATTTCAGACATGACAGGAAACTAAAATTAGTTGAAGATCAAAACAAATCCTTCTCTCTTCTTCCTGTAGGTGTGCTGGGCTCCCAGGTTTATCCACATCATTGTAATCGAAGTGTTAGCTTTATATCCTAGTGCTGCCAGAGAGATATAAAGCAAATAGAGAAAGGGTGAGAAGTAGGAGGAGATAATGATATGGATTAAGACTGTATTCTGATCAAAGAAGTCCAGGTTCATGTCTGATTAGCCTTGGAAGGTGATAGAGTATTTTGGACTATCAGCTGCCTCATGGCAGCACAGTTGTCCTACACAGAGGACTCATCATGAAGGTCAAGAGGGACTCCCAAGAAAGCCTTAAATCTTACATGGTGACTTGAGGGCCTAAATCTCTTCTACTACCCACAATGAGCTGCTGCCTCAGTAGAGAAACTGCAAGCTGGCCTGCTGCAACACATTGCATTGCAATGGACTTCTCAATTATGGTTAGGTGGTGGTCATTTTGCATTTTATAGGGTGTGGGCTAGAACCATGCTAAGTTTCCAAGTTTCCCATGTAAAGTCTGCCACATCAGTTTTCTGAGCACAAAAGGGCACACACATATCCAAAAATTGCAAGCCAATGGCCCAAACATGAGTTTGATGGGGAAGAGGATGGACAATCATTGTCATCTGGATTCATTGTGCCGCTGAATCAATTGCTATTGATGTTTTCTTCACATCAGATGTATTTACTGTTCAACTAACACGTGTGCCTGCTTTGCTTCTGCTGCAGAGTCTGTCTACATATAATGACCAGGAACCTAGTTAGTTCAGACACATGCCACGTATATAAGACAGCAGTAACATACAGATTTTGCATATATATATATATATAAATGTCACAGCCTTTCTTTCTGAAAGAAAGAAAGCCTTGGTACCAAAATGCCACCATCTGTGCATCAGGGAGAGCTATCATAAAACTTGAACCAAAAAACTCAGAAGTGTCTGTGTGACCCTTGAGTGATACAGGTGTTGAAAGTCAAACATGTTACATGGGGTGAATGTGGGGGAAAAGAAGGGCAGGAAGTGAGAAACTGGGGACCTTCCAGATGTTGCTGAAGTGTGCCACCCAGCATCTCACACCATTAGACCAGTTGGCTGGGACTCCAGTACTCATAATCAGAATAAAAACTTCAGCATTCAATGTGACTTTAGCCCTGTCAGTTGACCTATGGAAAAGTGACTTGCAGGACATCACAGGTAATGTCAATGGGGCTTTCAACAGCAAAGGGTTAAATATCATTTACAGCTGGAAAAGGAAGTAGAGAAAGCAGAATAGTGAGGCAAAGTCACCATTACAGTATAGAGGAGGTCTGGGAGTAAATGATGGTGCATGTAAGGAAACGTTTTATGTTGGGCTGATACATGTCCTGGACTACAAAGGTCAAACTCACTATAGTCTGGTTTAGAGACCTATTGGTAGACCTCTCCTGTGTGGGAAAGTCTTCTCTAATTTGGTGTTCTCTAAATATGCCGCAATATAAATCCCATTATTCACAGCTACCATAGCAAATAGCCACATCAGCCAAGTATGATCACACTGAATTATGAATACTTGGTTGATTACAGTTGGGGGGTGCTAGGGTCTGTGGGCAGGAGGGTGGGAATTAGCAACTCTTAGAATCTTCATACTGTATAATGACTGACACCCTCTTAGATTTCAAAAATGCTTACAGCTTGAGAACGCCCTCATAAAAGAGATAGTCTGCAAACTCCATCATACATAAATAGGCTGGAGGAAACAACACTGGATTCACTTCAAAAAGTAAAAGGAATCATTGTTTGGGGCTTGTTTGCTAGCCTTCCCTCCCCTTCCACCCTGCCTCCTTCCATTTGTGCAGCATTTCAAGTGTGAGTAGAACTGTTGGCTTATACATAAAATATCAACTACAAAGGCCATAAAGGCTAAAAAGAGAGAAATGCCTGAAAAACACCTGCTGACATCCAGAGTGAGACAGGCATGGAATATATACAATGCAGAATAGCCAGCCATTCTGAAAGCACAATGGGAACACAGAAGTTGTGAAAGCATTAAATGGCCTTAGATTTAATCATCCATCCATGCAGAGAAATAATACTGCTTCCGATCTGTAATTGGATCTGCAGTATCATGGTAAGCCAGTTGAATAAGTCAACAACCACATAATTTCAGCACCACTGCCTAAGAACAACTGAACTAGCATATTAGCTCAACATTGTTTGCTTGCTTGAGTAAAATGGCCCCTTGGTTCCTATTAAAATCTTGGCTTCTAGTTCTAGGCAATGTATTTCCCTCTGTGTGAGACTCTGACCAAATTGCCATTGTGCAATGACTAGAATTTCCAAAACATTAAGATGAATATGTTCCCTTTGGCTGCAATCCTCTGTCCAGTCATGTCCTCCGGTAGTCATCTATTTCAGTAGCCATTAAGCATACATAAATATGGGCATCTGAACCAGAAATTAACGATGTCACTTTATAACCTGATGCAGAGGGAAATCTAGAATTGTCATTTCAATAGGAAGCTGCAGCCAGTCACCTCTCTCAGTAAGCATGCCTGAATAATACACATATTTGCTGCTTTCATATTTTCAGATGCCAATCTAAACAAGGAGCAGTCAGTCTTGTGACCCAAACAGAACACTTTCGAAAAGCTAAGGTCAATCATTTGTCTTTGTGAAAAGCAAAACTTAGGAATCACTTTTGGTCTATAGCTATTCCTTCCTTCCTTCCTCTCCCTTTCCTCCCTCTATTATCGCTTGCTACAGCACTGCAAGATGATGATCATATTATTGATGATCCATGACAATGTCATGTGGGCTCATCCTGGCTCCATTTCTTACGAATTGACATATTTCTTTGAAAAATTACAGGAATTCAAATATGCATCCTTCAAATAGCTTTTTCTCATTTCTCTCCAATTACATGTAAATGAATGCAGTGATTCTCAACAAGGTTCATCCCCCTCACCAGACACACACACACACACACACACACACACACCACTGGTCTCAAGATAATGAATGGTAATGGGTTTTTCTGTCAATGGGTTTTTCTAGCAAATCCTCTCAA